AGTATAACAATAGAACTTAAAGCTCAGGTTATTTGTGTTGAATCCAACAAATGGCCTTCAATCACTACTGTACTGAGTTGAGAAGAGATAGTACTTTGCTCAGCTTTCCTGATAGTACTCTGGTCATAGTTCTCAATGTTATGAAGAAAGGGTTCAGATCAATTCAAAATGGTCATGTTAGGAGAGCATGTCAAGTCTGCCTGGCCAGTGGCAGCTACACATATGATTCTTTAAAAGACTAAAGGAACCATTCCTTTCTTGATTTTTCTAACTTGGGCTCCTTGTTTATATAAAATGCATCTCTACTACTAGTGACAGGACGGAGCATCCCATAATGTTGGAAGATATGAAAAGTGACAGAGATGAGAGAAGGTTTAACGAGGGAGTAGGTTGGTCACCTGGGGATATTCCAACAGCCCGAAGCTAGAACTGTTGTTCACTAAGGCCTGGAAATAGAATGGGTTTGTGGATAAGTATACAACTTCTAAGACCCCATTGCTTGGATTTCAAGTCTGACCCAACTACTTATCAGCACTGTGACTTTTTCAAATACAGCATATATTAGTCATTGCTTTCACCTGTAAGGAACTATCTAAAAATGAATGAGTTGTGGGAGAGGGTGTGCTTGGGGTCAGGGTTGCTACAGATTGGTGAAGCACTGAAGAAATATTCGACTCAGTTACCTGCTTGTTATTTTTTAATTCTTTTCAATGAATTTGTCATCAGTTGTGATCCCCAATTCACTTTGTTTCTGTTTATGGTTTTGAATTTACCCTTTGACAAGAATTATTCTAGTCCTGACAAATGGATATATGTTTAATGTTTTCATATTTTTATATATAGTTCTGCTTTTATTTTAAAAATAAAGTAGAAAGGCATGTACTTTTATCTCTGGTTGTCACTTAATCATACCTTAAAGTTTAAGGCAAGAAAAAGTGTTGCCAGATATATTCTTTCTGATAACATAAGCATAATCCTCATATCCACATGCATATAAATAATAGTAATAACAATAATAGTGAAATATATGTCTGATCATATCCATTATTCTCCAGGATGTACAGCAACTGGAGTTCTCTTAAATTGTTCGTCGGAGTATTGCTTAATAAAACTATTTTGGAAAAAAGTTTCACACTATACATATATGATGCCTCAGCAATTCTACTCCTGGTTACCTACCTAACGCAAGTGAGTGCTTACAGCCACCAAAACATATGTATGTCAATGTCTATAACACCTTTGTTTGTGATTAAATTAAAAATGACATAAATAAACCATAGGGTGGACAAGTAACATGTATTTTATCCATAGAATAAAATACTGTAGACTAAAACAATCAGAAAAAAAAACTACTGATATATCAAACAACATGGATAAGTCTGAAAAAGAAATGCTGAATGAAAGAAAGCAAACAATAGAGTAGACACTATGTGAGTCCACTTATATGAGGGTCAAAAAACAGACTAAGTTGTGTACAATGAGGAAAGTCAGGAGATTATATACTTGGAATAGGCTTGGAGGAGGGCTATTGACTTGGAAGGGCATGAAGTTTTGTTCTAGGGATGGAATGCAGTACATTGAGATTTTCATAGTATTTACAAATATATATGTTATACAAATTTATATTTTAATATAAATTAAAATTTATCAAGTCATTTTAGCATGCTTTATAAACACACACATATGAACGTGGATAAGTATGTATATATTATGGTCTATCATATCCCAAATTCTGAGGATTGTCATACCTATAAATTGAGCATAAAAATTATTTCTGAATTGCTTCACAAATCTACAAAGTGAAGATTGCAACTATGTCTACAGAAAAGCATCTCCCTGCATGCAAGATTGTCTCTGTGGGTGTTACTGGGATAAAAAGTAATGATAACTTGTAAAAATGGGCTAATAGATCTATCAAATATATATGAAAAATATCTACATTTCTATTGTATCAATCAGCAATGACCAAGATTTTAGCCCTGATTTTACTGTCTTCTATGTGTTGTGTCCGTGACTCCCTCAGAAGCCAGCTCTTCAAAAGACATGGCTCAAACATTTTGCTATACTTCAGAAAGACTGGCACAAAGCTGGGAGGGCATATAAAAAAAGTTCAAGTCATGTGTTTAATAATCACAGCGATGTCATTCGTTGACCATCAATCTAAGCAAAGTTGATATCCCTCCTAAAATTTAATTGCAATTAATTAAATTTATAATGTATCTCCCCCCCAGAAGTAGACACTCTTTAGTCCCAGTCCACAGAGGAGGAAATTGAGGCTCAAAGACTGTATGAATAGTAAGTGCAAGAGCAGAGCCTTAGTGTGTGGCAACCTCATGTTCACCCAGGAATAGTTGCATTTGTCACAGTGATTGATGCAAAGCATATGCTCATTTTGTCTTACCAGAAGAAATTTTCATCACCAGGGATTTACCCTGCGGGAGCTGTTTGGGCCCATAGCAGTATCAGAGATGTGCTCATCAAGGATTCTGTGAGCACCCAAGAGACCATGGGTCTGTACTGAAAGCTGCTTAAGGCCTCTCGGAGTCAAGGTCTACACGGTTCACAGGGTGCACGGTCACAGACTCCTCGACATACAGGGGCATGTGATAATGAGAGATTGATGTGAGCAAGATATATTATGCACATTGAACCCCCAAAATGTGATACTAGGGAGGATTGTGGACGGCATAGGTGATAATGTTCAAAGTATTTATGTGTGTGTACAAATCTCCAAAATGAAACTCATTAATCTGTCAAAGCTAAAAATAGAGAAAGAAGAAAATGTTTCAAATGTATGTTATTATTTTTCACTATATCCCCACTCAAAGTCTGTCAAGCGATTGCTCAGGGATCCTCAGGATTTCCTAGGTGGAACTTACCATCTCCTATTCAATTATTTATGGATCAATTTATAATGTAACTAGCAATATTTTTGACATGTGTTCAAAGGACCTGTATATTGAGAATATTCCTAAGTGTTTTATAAATTTATGAATTTGAATTTTATTATTTTTTTGCATATTGGCTATTAGCCTATTTTTTTATACATTAAATTTGTTGGTACATTTTAGGTATACAATATGATGACATGCACCATTGGGAATTTGTACCTTTACATGATCCATCTTGGTTCTTATTTTTTCCCCATTCCCCTGCCATCCCTTCAACCCATCCACCTCTCCCTACTTACAAGGACTTTATTCTTTTTAATTTAAAAAATTTTAGACAGAGTCTCGCTAAGTTGCTAAGTTACCACCCTGGGCTTGAATTTTTGATCCTCCTGTCTCGGCCTCCCCGAGTGCTGGGATTGTAGGCACATGGCCCTGTGCTCAGCTCTTTATTGTTTCTTGGTGTGTCTGGAAGACAAATAAATTCTCTTGCCATAGTCGATTTTTTTTTAAGATGATGATCAAAGTAGTTGGTGCTTGGTGCTACCTTGGTAACAACTATGTGCCTAGAGACAGGTAGGCTCTCTGGAAAGAATTCGTTGTCTTTTACAGTCTGCATTAAATAACATTGTCAGGCAAGTCAGTTCTGCCTCCTCTCACCTAACTCTATTTGATGGCAAAAAGATCACATTAATAGAGCATTCACACATTGTTAGCTGGCATGTGCGTTTCTCTCATATGATGCTCTGTCAGATTTAATTCCTGTGAGGTAGAATGCTCTTTAGTTTTGGCAAATTCATAATCATCATTCTATTTCTGTGGACAGTTAAACAGTCCAGCATCTCATAGGAAATGTAGTCCTGATATATAGCTTGGGTTGACCCTGTCTTGAAAACTGCATCTAGTTTCTGGTGCTTCTACCTGGAGAGAAAAGCATTTAAAGAGCGATACAGCACCGTAAAGAAGAGTGGAGGAGTACTGGATACAAGGCAAGGTCCTGGGGAAGCATGCCTGCTGGGGTTTAAACCTGATATCGCCATTTATTGTGTCACCTTAAAGCCACAGCCTCAGTTTATCTGTTCCAGATTTATTGTAAAGTAGGTGAGGTGTTTAGATTGCAGGGCACGAAGTCGAACAGGTGATTACCTCCCAGGTCGATCCCTTTCCTTGAGAATATCTTCCTGCCTTAGACCCATCCTGTCCTCAAAACCAATATCCCTGTGCTGTCCTCAGAGAACAGAGAGACCCAGGGGGTGGCTGAAGCAGCAAATTGGGACTGCAGGAATTTGTGAACTGCGCTTGTTTAGAAAAAGTCATTATGATTGAAATGACATCCAGGGCACAGTTTAGTGTCATTTCTTTTACTAACACTGGGGCTGGGCTCGAGCCCATCTATCTACCACAACACAATTTATGGTTCTCTCTTAATTATGAGACTTATAATCTGATTTTATTTCTTAAAGATATGTTACTGAGCCATTTTCCTCTTTAAATATTCTCTTTCAGGTTCTCATTAGAATTTCAGTACAAGACTAATATCTTCATTGGCAAACTCAATTTCAGTTTCAAATGCTCCAGTTTCATTTCTCTCATTATTCCCAGGAAAATGTTTTCCTATCTTCTCCTGTTACTACCCATGTCTTCAAGAAATAAAATGAAAGGCCTTCTTGTAGACTTTTCTAAGAACACATTACAGTAATGTTGGGGAGTTTGTGTTCACAACACTTCATGTGGCAGCCACGTGTCACTTAGACATTGTGTAACCTTGAAAATGTCCCATGCCTCACTTTTCTCATCTGAAAAATGAACAAACCATGGTAATAATTATATCTACTTTATAGGATCATTGTAAAGAATATATAAATATCTATAAAACTTTTAGTACAGTGCCTGCCCTAAGTAAGAATTTAAGAAGTTTGGGCAGTAAATGTATTTAATAATTGAAGATTCATTAAAACTCTTAGCAACTAGTTTTGTTCATCTGATTACTGTAGAGTGCATTGAATAATTTTATTTTCTTTTTCTTTGCTTCCAACACTGATATGTTCCTAATTTTTGAGTTATAAGAGGTGTGTCAAGAATGTAGTAAATTCAAATACATTTTGCTAAGTATATAAATTAGTTATGCAAAAAGTGAAAGTTTCATTTCATCTCTTTAAATATGGTCTTTAGGCTGGACATGGTGGCAGATGCCTCTAATCCCAGTACTGGGAAGGCTGAGGCAGGAGGATTGCCCGAGTTCATTCCCAGAGGGAGGTACATAATGAATCCAAGGCCACACTGAACTACAAAGTGAGTCCCTGTCTTTAAAAAACGAATAAATAAACAAAAAATAACACAAAAATATGGCCTTTAAGATGTCACTGATGATTTGTTTTGATTTAATAGGGAAGCATGCAATAGTACAAACTCTGTCAGATAACAAAAAAGCCTTTCTCATTTGGGTATAGCATTTACAAGAGACATTTGAAGAAAAAAACTCATGTTTTCAGCATTTTGTGAGACAATATTTAGAATGTTCCAACTCCAATAATTTAAGAACTGTAAAGTCTAGGTATTTTCAAACAAAATGACCTAACATTATGCATGTTAATAACAAAGTTGAGTTTAAAGAATGTATTTATAGACATTCTATTTTTCTGAAACATATGAACTAACTCTACTGGTAACAAATTATTATGAGTTAGTCTAAGGCTAAACAAAATTATAAAAATCACATGAAATTATCCAATCAATTTTTGTTCTTATCTTTATTAGTACATGCTTGCAGTACATAATGATTATATTTCTTGTGGAAAGTTGGTACTTGTATATATCACATCTTAATTCTTTTTTCACCCCCTTCCCTGGCCCTCCCTTTCCCCGCTTCTATCTAGTGATCCCATTCCCATCTGATGAAGATCTATCTCCTTGCCTCCTATTATCTATCTTTTATTTTGCTCTCTGTTTATATTTTGGGTTTCTCATAGAAGAGAAACCATGTGATATTTAAGCTTGTGTATCTGACTTACTTCAGTTAATATTATCATCTCAAGGTGCATCTATTTTAGCAATTATTTTTGTTTGTAAAATAAAAATTATTATAATGCTGCAACTTATGGTTTCCTTTTCAAATGATGGATTACCATTGCAAATTTGATGAATAGTGAAGTTATATTGTATTTGCCAACTTTTTCATTTTTTAAAAAGTATAAAAAATAGTTTTACACTCAATTTCAGATGAGAGCTTAATTAATATTGTTCTTTAGGATGGACATTCTAATCAAACGCTGGGTGAAAATGGAGAACTGCTGCATAAAGTATTAACTTTCCTGACTTGGACGAGTTTGGTAAGGATGAGTAATTATTTTTAAGAAATGAAAAAGCAAAAAAATAAATCTATATTGGGTAGAAATTGGAACTCTGAAGTTGTTTCATTTCTGAAAGTTGTTCCATTTCAACCATTCTAATTCTGGATCTGTAACTTCCCTAACTATTATGCTGTAATAGTTTTATATAACTACTTACTGCTTGATAGAATTATAACATTTATAACATGACATGTGTGCCTTTACCTGAATACTGTATTGCATAAAAGAAATGACAGTGTTATTCACTGATGCCTCCCATCATTATATGCACTTGGCATTTATTTAGGCATAATACACATTTAACAACAGAGCTATTTGATATTTCAGTAAGTATCCTATGTATTATCAGTTACCATGACAACAGGATTATAATCCTGTAGTCAATTAGAGCTCATTAGTGCCAAATGGATCCATGAGAATATTCATAATCTAAAATGATAAAGCCTAAGTGTTTTTTTTTTTCCATGATCCTCTTTTGTTACATTTTTCTCTCTGAAGGGATTTGGGGCTTTTTTTTTTTTCCTCTGAAGATTCAATTAGTTTCGCTCTTCTTACTTGAGTTATCAGAATTTCCATTAGAAGTGGCATTCTCCTTTCCAAAGAATATGAGTCAACCTGATTTAACAACATTAAAATGTATAGTGAATCTCATGAACTCTGTCTTTCCCTCCCTCCACTTGTACCTGGTCTGTGGATATACATGATGGAGGCAGCACTTGGAGACTGATTTATGTAAACTTCCATCCCCTTTACTAAATGACTAAAGTAAATATCCATTCTTGTAGCTAGTTTTTGTGAAAGTGTTTAGTGGTGTTTTCTGATCATTTGATAGTATTTGTTTTTTGCTGAATGGATTTGTTTCTTTTATCATCTTACCTTTTCTCTCACTGAGTACAAACCAACCTCCAAGCAAACCACTCTCATACAAGTGCATTTATCAGCAGAGAGAAGACAAACCAAATAGCTTTAATCTTAATTTGGCTCGATGCAGCATTTACTGAGCACTCATTTTATACTGGGTACTGAGCCAGGAATGAAGTACACAAAGTGGAAACAGACTGTTCTGTCCTCAGAAAGTTTAGCAGGGAGGTTGGTTCAAAATTCTGCAGTATTATAAGCTTTCTGAAATATGTGTAATATATGAGTTTATATGAGGCACTTAAAGGTGGTTAAAAATATGCACTTTGGAGAGACTCAGAACTAGATTTCTTGAGTTGAAACCCAGCTCTAGCACATACTGTCTGTGTGACATTGAACAAGTAACTTAACCTTTCTCTGGCTCAACTTTTCAACTAATAAAATAGGAACCAAAGTAGTGTGTACTTCATTAAGCTATAAGTTAATGCTTATACAAATATAAATTAATTAATGTTTCTAAAGTGATTAATATTATTATTTGTAATATACTAGGTGCAATGTAAGCACTGGTTAAGTTAAAGGAGACCTACTTATTGCTTAGTGAGTGAAAGTTGGTCTTAGTAGGATATGAGTAAAGTTACATCAGAGAACGGATGTTACTTTAAGAGTCTTTAAGGATAAATCGAATTGTCCGAAAAGGTCAGGAAAGAGAAAGCATAAATAAGGGCACATGTGTGTGTCAGGTCCCTAGAATGTTAGTTTGCTCCTGAAGACAGACGTACCCCTTCCTGTATGAGACTGATTAAGATGAATCTGGGCAGAAGGCTGGGGACAAGTTGTGCAGGAGCAAGTTCAAGGACTTCCTAGTTTACTCTTCCAGCAAGGGAGAGGATTAAACTTGGGGAGTAGTGTGATTAAGTTTATATTTGAGAAATATGATTTTGGTTATAGTGTAGGAAATGCTTTGGTAAAATAGATTCTGGGGATGTAATGGCCAAGGATCCTCTGTAATAGTTCAGAAGGAGAGATCCTGGGCCAGGAGAACCAGGTGCCATTAATGGAGATGGAGATAAAGACTGATTGCTCCACCCTGATAGAAGGTAGAAACTTTCTTAATGGTGGAACAAACTATCTCCCTCTAAAATGAAATTACATGCTCTATAAAATTCTTAAGCAATTTGCCAGTAGATGCTAATGGATTAAGGCTGCTCTAGACAACCACGCTAGCCAACTTGTGACCCATCCACTAGCTAATTATCAATAATGCCATTCAAACAGTGATTCTGTTTGGGGTTTTTTTGACTGAGTCCAACCAGCATTATGTAATCATTCACATTTTTCTTTAAAAATCCTCAACCACAAAGGCATTTTTGAATTATTCTTCTTAGGTTTCCTTCCTTAGAAGATGCTTGAAATATAATTTGATACCAAAGTATCAGAAAAAAAATTGACAAAGAAAGCATTAATTTGGAGGAAAATGATGACCTTCATTGGGATATTTTAAAAAAAATTATTAGTACATGTTTATAGTACCTAATGTTTACATTCCCTGTGGGGAGTTGGTACATGTACATAACGTATCTTAATTAATTTTTCATTCCCTTTATTTCCCTCCTTCCCCCTCCACCATTTCTTGATTCTCTTTCTTTCTTTCTTTCTTTCTTTCTTTCTTTCTTTCTTTCTTTCTTCTTCTTTCTTATCTATTTGCAGTGGATATTTACGTTCTTTAAGTGGAGTTGGTACATATACATTGGGAAATTTTGAACTGAAGGAACTTGCAGGATATTTAGGGCAGACAGTAATTACTACTATAGAGTACCCCACATATAAGACATTATTTACTTATCTTTAGTCTCACAACAATCTTGCCACCAATATCACCACTCCACTTTATGTATGCAAATCCTGAAACAAAAAGAGAGATTTATAGTGGTATAGTTTACACACTGCTTGTGGTTTAGATAAGACTCAGATCTCTGCCCTTTGATACCAAGATGTGTACAAATTCCATTCTGCCATTAGAAAAGATTGTACATTGTATTGTCTTAGATACAGTTATTCTTTCAAAAATCATTCCTGTCTCTCTGAAACATATAGTGTTACAAAGTTTATTCCATTCTGAACCAATTTTAAAAGTGGGAAGTGTGGTGGCTACAAATCGGAAAGATCAAGAGCACGTTTTAGGCCCAGGAGACCCAGGTTTAGGTTTATGACTTTAGAAAACTTACTAAGCTTCCATGTCCTCACTGTTAGATGGAAAGATTTATCTCATAGGATCACTGTGAATATATTATCAAAGAATATTTGGCAAGAACTTTTTAGAGTAGTAACAACTAGAAAATAATCAAAGACAACATATGAAGGGTAGCTGCTTTTTATAATGACTTGGGTCAGAAACACTTTTGTGGAGACTCAGGCTTGAGATGACAATAAAAATCAAAAGCAAATGATGGGACAGAAAAAAGTCAACATCATACATTTTTTTCAGGGAATATTGTTTGTATAAAGTCTAAGAAAAATCAGGTAGCACAGTGTTATATTTATTACAACAATTTAGTAATTCAAAAGTAGTATGATATAAACTTTAAAATATTGCTTTCTGTAAAATCAGACCAAATTTTGTGCCTACATTTGTTTTTTTGGTACCGGGGATCGAATTCGGGACCTTGTGCTTGCGAGGCAGACGCCAGCACCACTGAGCTAAATCCCTGGCCCTCGTTTTAATTTTATATGTTTGTGTATGTAATGAATACATTCATTGTGAATAGTTGTTACATGTAGGTGATACATCTTAATTCTCTTTATAACACCAACACCCCCCCAGTCTCTTGGTATCTTTCTCATATATTTGGTTTTTCCAGGTGCAATAAGATAGAACCCAGTTCAGCCTCTTGGAGATCCAGTATCTCAGTTAAACCAGGTTGCCCCTGGAAACATTCAGATTCCATCTCGTCGTGCAGAGGGTGAAATAGTGGCAGGAGTGAGGGCCAGGCAGTAGGGGTCTTTGCCTGGCTTTGTCATTACTTTGTCAAGTGGCTTTGAGTAAGTTACGACTTTTCCAGATTCTGTATCTGTAACATAAGGAACTTGGGATTAAACCTTGTTAGAAATCATCTGTCTGAATAAAGTGAGTCTAGGTACAGCAGGGAGTTGAGAGGTGGACGAGAAAGCAAAGCACAAGACACATTTGTTTGGCATGTTTTGGTTAGATTTTACCTTTGAAAATAATTCAGCTCTTACAAGACAATGAGATGAGGGTTTGGTGGGGAGGAAATATATTGTTTGAAAAATTTTACTTAAAAGACTGACAATCCTCTCAGACATTTCTAAACCTAACTACATTCTTCAGCCATCTGTCCTCAGCCTTACTACACAAAGCCTTCCTGACCTTCCTAATAAGCCTCTTATATTTATTGTACTGAATACTTTCATAACTTCCCACTCTTCATTTACTTTTCAAAGGACTTTTGGGCTAAATATGCCAGATATTCTCAATTTCCTTAAATCACTAGGAGAAAACACTAGTTTTGTTTCAACCTCAGTGATAATTTGCTAGCATACATTTGAGCTATGTGAAAGGTTGACAATTAGAAATATATAAATGAATTTATATCTGCTATAGTCTAGAGCCCATTTTGCGTTTCTTATCTACTGTGACCTCTATAAAAATCTCATGAGACAGGTAATACTATTTCAAATTTAAAGATGATGAAAGGCATTTAGAGTTTAAAATTGAGTTTAATTTCATACCAGTAAGATTTTTCCAGTAAAGTAGATCCCAAATTTGCCCTCTCCCAAGATTAAACATGCCGCCTGCTATTTTTGTGCTCCTCTCTTCTTATCTCTGGAGCCCAGTTTCTTGTCAGCAAAATAAGAACTCTGGGCGAGCATTCATCAGTAGCTGTGCTTTAGAATAATCTGAGGATTTTGTGAAAAATGCCTAGGATTTTACATGGAATATTTGTTTCACTAGATGTAAGTGAACTGCCAAGGAATCAGAATTTTATGAGGGGTTCCAGATGATGTTCACATAGCTCTTTTCCACAAACAGTTACTTAGGCACCGGAAAACCAGCACCCTGCATCCTACAGGATGGTCTAGGGACCAGCAAGGCTGTCCTT